TTCGAGCGTTTTTTTTATTCGATTTTTTTTACTTGACCTTTTTTTATGTTATCCTTTAAATATGACACTAAATCACGAAGAGACAACTTCGTAATTGGGAACCTAGACCAAACCAAAAAAAAAAGACTATCCTAACACGTTGCACATAGTCACATAATCATATAAGCATGTCATAAGTCAAGATTCACGCAATGTCGTTCTAAGGTCAAAAAAGGCTTGGGTGTCCAAAGGTACAATACCTTAAGAAACGACGCATAAATCGATCACTCAACGTGTTGACCCATGACATCGCCCTCCCAACATTTTATTGGTGATATGGGTTGGATGATTTTTATTGATTTTGAGATAGACGCCTAGTGTTGGCGACCCCTAGTCAATGAGCCAACCCCCAATGGTTTAAGTGTGTTATGCTTATGCATGATGCAATGTTGCTTGTTTTGTTTTTACTCTTGTGCAAACGGAAGATATTATGCGTTCAAGTCTTGCTCTCTAACTAGAGATTGTCCAAGTGAATTCTCGTTACAAGCCATAGACAACCTAGTGTTGGATACCTTGGACTATAACTACGAATTAATCATGTAGCTTCTAAGTCCCCAGTTGAGTCGCCACTGTAAGGAGTGTGATCCCATCGTAGGGGTGCTCTCCTTAAATGCCCTTGGCCACTAAAAAGCCTAGGACTTTACACTTGTTAGGGTGTAGTAGGATTTGAATTCATGACTGTTTGGGGGACCTTGAATTAGAATTGATTCTATCATCACGCTTTTTTATAAGAAAACAAGTAGGAGCCGCCAATGAGTTTTAGGAAAAACTCATAAACCTCGTTCATGCCTTTCTTCCATGTGATATTCATGGAATAATTAGCACAAATCATAAGTTTACCCATGCCCAAATTGGTCTATAAACCAGAAATGAGTTCGGGAGCGAGGGTACTAAGATAACGTTCCTTTTAGAGGGGAATCGTCATCATAGCCCTAGTACGGCCTCTACTAGCTCTTCCTTTTTCACAATTTCATGACCAAACAATATATGCAACGCAATACCTAAAACTGTGTTAGTTGATTTTATTTACAAGCATTAATTAACGTAGGAATTACATTGCAAAAGTCGTTATTCTTATTTAATAATATTCGTGAAAGAACAATAAATAAATAAGATTCGCCTTGGCTTAAGTGATCAACCAACAATTATTTAATTCAATTCTAATCTTTATTTAACGCAAGATACTATGTGGAATTGATTAATTAGTTATTTTAAAGGTGATCAAACAACACTAATTAATTAAATAAAGTCCTTTTAAACAAGAAAATAAAGGTGATTTAACTAAGTGCTCGGGAATTTACCACTTCTCTTTGCTAGATCTCCGTTTAGAACACTTATGGACTCCTTCTTGCTGCGGAACCTCCACCATAGTAACAAAGTATCGAAAGGGTGAGTGTTTAGGACAAGAGGGCTAGGTTGCACAAGTTCACAAGTTATTTCGCCAGAGTTTTAGGTTAATTTTTGTCTCTTGAAGCCTCGGTTTAAGCTCGTATTTATAGGGAATGATTAGGTTTATGGTTTTGAGCATTCTGCCGCAGTAGGTGTCACGCGCAATAGAGAGAGTTGCACACGGAAACCCAACGCAAGTTATAGAGCTGTGCTGCTATGTGCAGCGCAACTAATGGTCTTTTGCGCGGCTTTATGGTAAGATTCGATTTTATATCTTCCGTATAATTTCCGAATAATTACAAATCTTCCGCAGCGCAAATCTGAAAGTTACGCTGGGTGTCACATAATCTAGGCGCAAACTAGCACAACTTTGTGAGATGTACGCGGCTTTTCCAGCGGCAGCACTAAGATTTAACCTAGGCGCTCCTAAATCCGTCATTATTAATTAGGGTTTAAGCACGGGTTTAAGCCTAATTATGAACGGGTTTAGTTAATTGGATCTTTGTTTTGGCTTTTCCTTTAATTTGGGCTAGTCTTTTGTGTTTTGTGGCTTAACCAGTTATCCATAAGTATTCTTCACTTCGATCCAGCATGAATATGGCTTTATTTATCGTCATTGCACTTCCTGTCAGGACAGGAGGCCAAAAGTAGATGTCTACACACAGCAGCTTGAAACTTTCACTTTTTCTTCATAGAATGCTTCTTTTTATACTTCTTATAACTATTTCCACTTTCTTGTCAAGAACAAAATCCAGCATTGGTCATCTTCCCTAAAGTGCAAATAGAAATGACAGACAATATTGTGGTGTTTCATGCACTTTCACTGAATTCTAGCAGGAAATAAAGAAAGGAGAATTTTCATGGTACTAAGATATATGACCGCAAAGCTTAAATAGTTTAGTAACATGAGCAGAGTGACTTATCAGAACAATTTGGTTATAGATACCTTTCTTTAATGTCTGTTGCCAATTTGACATGTCAGTTCTTGTTCTTATTTAGTGATATACACCTAAAAAAGATTTACAAAACTGAATAAAGAGGTGACTGTAGTGACATTAATCACAATCAAAATAATTGGAGATAATGTTCATATTGATCAAATTGCTATTAATAGACACAATTATACAACATACACAAGCTAATAACACAAATGAAAATAACTGCAAAAAAAAAAAACAGTTCCATTGGGAAATAGCCAAATAGGAAGCAAATACAATTGTTGATGGTAATTCTATTCCTTAATCGTCAATTGTGTGAACCAGATGTAGCACAAAAAATTAGAAATTGGAACTTTGGAAGTGATAAAGTAAAACAAGGATGCTCCACATGTTGTAAAAAATGGAGTTTCAAGCAGGTTTTCTTTCAGCAACACATGATAGCTTAGCTATATTCAGAAAAATCAGTGTAACATAAATACACTTTTTCTTTCCTATCAAAATATATCTACCTCCAATTAACACTGATGATTTCATCTAGTAAGAAAACATATGCAGCAACTTAAAGTAGTCAAACAACTGAAATCATTAATAAAATGCTAATTGCTTTATCAAACAGTCAACTATGATTAAGCAAGAACACTTCTAGCTCATTACATCCTCACCTTTTTCCATTTTATGCTAAAATTCAACGACCAGCAAATTGGCCATCAGCATGAATCCTTCTCTTGCCAACATCTTTTGGAGTCCTAGCTGTCTGTTTAGGGTTAATCCAGTATCCAGTTTCAAGTGATGTTCCTTCTAAAACCGATTTCTTAGATTTCTTTCTTCCCTTTCTGGAGCTTTTCTCTAAAGTGACTTATCTTCTAGTTTGTCGTTTACCACCATCCTAATCAAATTGACTCCTGATCTAAGCAGCAAGGAATCATCAGACTTCAGATCTTAAAAATTTCTTTAGTGTTTAAAATACACAAATCAACAAAGAAAAGCATAGTACATGTAATCTATAGATTCTACATCAGTAGTAGTCAATGGGGAAAAAGTAAGGTAAACGACTACGAATTAATCTCTGGATCCTCAAATCATTATGGTATAAGTAATGGTGAGATGGAGGAACAGCAGATCCTGAATTTTAGTCTTGAAATATATTTTAGGTTGTTCACGCTTATTTCCTGGTCATTGGAGCATAGCTTGCGAGAACCTGGGGCTGGTTTTGTTGATTTTACAAATTAAAAATATTCAGTATAGAATTCATCAAAAGTCGGAGTCTGTACAATAGACTTATCACTAGTACAAAAATCTTTCCACAAATCCTTCTGTTGTGAAATGTGAGGCTACAAATATACATTTTTTCCAAGGGATCTGCTGTGACTTCCATGGTTTAGGATTCTTTCTGTTTATTGTGTTTGGAAAAATCAACCCACTAGATTCTCGGTAAATGTGTTCACATTCTGATTCAGAATCAAGTAGCTAGCCTGAATCTTTCTCGAATACTGTATTCTTCTGGTTTATTGTTTATTGAAAAGTTGACTATGCTAGCGTCTCTGTCATTGTGAGCATTTGATGGATTATCATAATCTGATTGGGAACCACGTAGCTTGAATCATACTTGAATATTGTATTTTTTTTATTGCTATTTGGAAGGCCAATCCCCTAGCTTTCCTCTCAGTGCGTACATCTGACATATGATCAGGATCTGATTCACAGCTAACTATGTATAGTTTAATCATGGTCTCACACCACTTCATCATTGTAAATTCGTACTCCATTTTTCTTTTCTTTTTTGTATGCTATTGTTGGGCCCGTATTATCACACGACCCATTACATCTAGGGCACCAATCCAAGGCCAATAAGTCAGCAAGAATATGCTAAACGGCTTGATTGAAATAAACAAGGAAAGCAGCATCAAGCATATCAATCAAGGAGATACTTGCCAAAGATACACCTACAGAGCCGGAAACAAGATAAATCAAGAAGATCTTATGCATTTCAAAGATATTCTGAATATATTTGTAAACCCTAGAGATCCCTAGATATAAATAAGAATAATTAGACATTTTAACAGGCTTTTACGTTCGCATATACATAAATATAAATAATTTGCTCTACTTTTATCTACGGAATTGCGTCCCTACTGAATAAGGAGGTCTATCCTTACTCAGTATTGTATCTCTAAACTCATCTTCTTTATATAATTGAATATTTACTGCTTACTTATTGATTACCTACTGATTTATTATCGTTCTTAGTTATTTCACATGTTATTGGTAGAATGATTGTTATTACCCCTCAAACCTAGCAAATTCTCAGATACCCTTATTGAGATTTGCCTAAACAATTTGGCGCCCACCGTGGGGCTGATAATCAATTAACCTGCCAATTCGCCAAAAACCAAGACAAACACCATGACTGGGCAACCAGTACCTTTTACTATTGCCGAAATTAATGAAGGAATGAACGCATTCCGCCAAACTTTAGACCAGCAGAAAAGCCAAATTGAAACGCTGCTGGCCTAAAAGGTCCAAACTGAAGCCAAACTCACCAGCCTTACCAAACAAAATGAAGCCCTTCGCAGCCAAATACAATAATTTGCATCTAAAACCATTAACACGAGAAAGAACACTGAAGGTATAGCCATGCAGCTCGACTTGTCCGGAACCTTTCACACCCCTAACAGGGAAAAAGGAACTAACAACAGGGATGATACCCATGATCTAGACTCTTTGGATGCAGGAACCCCCAAGAAGGACAGTCAAGAAGGAGCCGAAGAAGGAAAAGTAGAAAAGATGGTCAAAGAATACCTCAAGACAATCGAGGCCAAAATAGCCAAAATCCCTGGAATGCCGAAACCCATGGAAGAAGAGGCAGCAGATGGCTATATAGAATCCCCGTTCTCGGAAGAGATCGCCATGGTAGAGGTCCCAAAGAGGTTCAGCACGCCCAATATGACCATGTATGATGGAACAACAGACCCCGATGAGCATGTATCCCTTTACAAACAGAAGATGATGACAAACTCAATCCCTAGAGACATCAGAGAGGCTATCATGTGCAAAGGCTTTGGAGCTACACTATCAGGTCCAGCTCTAACTTGGTTCATTAATTTAGATAATGGGACTATTTGATCTTTTGCAGGAATGGTGAACCTATTCAAGGTCCAATTTGCTAGCAGCAGGAAAATCGAAAAGCAATATTCAGACCTGTACCGCGTTGTGTAGAGACATGGTGAATCCTTGAGAGATTATCTTAACAGGTTCAACAGGGAGAAAATTGGAATACATAAGTGTGATGCTCCCACAACAATCGAAGCGTTCAGAAGAGGATTGCTAGACCATAGCGAGCTCTACAAGGAGTTGACTAAATATCCCTGTACAACCTTCGAAGATGTGCAAGACAAAGCTATGGCTCAAGTCAGATTTGAGGAAGATGCATATGCAAGAAAGACTCCCGAGCTAGATCGCCAGTCAAGAAGGAACAACAACTTTCCCAGAAGGGATCATCGATTCAAGTCGTATCAGCGTTCCCGCATTGATGAGGGAACAGTCAATGTTGTCGAAGAAGAATTTTCTGATTGGAGAGAGGATCCTGAACTTCCACCTAAGTTACATGAGTATTGCTTTAACGTTAACCCTACAGGAGTAATTAGGACCCTAAATAAGATGGGAGATACCGTGCAGTGGCCCAGGAAGAGTGAAAGGCTTGGAGAGAAGAAAGATCCGTCCAGATGGTGTGATTTCCATTCAGATATCGGTCACACTACTGATGAGTGTGTCGCACTCAGAAAATAAGTGGCGTACTTGCTAAAAAAGGGTTACCTCAAAGATCTCCTCACAGATAAATCTAAAGCTTCTGGGAGGGAAAGAGAATCTAAGCAAGGAGGTCCTCCTCCTCCGCCTCCAATTGTCAAAACCATCTGTTTCATATAAGGAGGATCAGATGTATGTGGCTTGACGTATTCTGCAGCAAAACGGCATGCAAAGGAGAGTAATAAGGATCAACCTGACAAGAGGGAGAAATCCAAGATAGACATTCCCATCATGTTCGAAGAAAGCGATGTAATAGAAGGCCATCATGACGGCCTAGTGATTTCACTCCCAGTTGGGAACTGCATGATCAAGCGAATTCTAGTGGACAATGGAAGTTCTGCAAACATCATCATGCTCGACACTCTGAAACATATGAACATAGACAAAAAGAACATCGTCAACAAGTCAACAATGTTAGTGGGATTCAGTGGGGAAACCAAGAAGACAAGTGGAGAGATTACATTGGCTACGTGCGCAAAAGGAATCAACCTACAGGTCAAGTTCCTAGTGATTGACACTCTATCCTCGTACAATATGATCTTAGGCAGACCTTGGATACATGAGATGAAGGCCATCCCATCTACATACCATCAAGTCATTAAGTTCCCTACTAGGTGGGGCATTCAAGAAATCAGAGGTGATCCTAGGGAAGCAAAGGAATGTTACAAGATCGCACTACAAGCAACATCTTCAGAAAAGAGTTCAGCATAGCAATTAGAGGGTCAGCTGGGCCAAGAAAAGTTAAGCATAGCAGAAGAACAAGAAGCTAGAGAAGTCCAATTGAACCCCAAACATCCAGACCAAAAGGTCAGAATAGGATCAGAGCTTAAGTCAGAACTCAGGGAACAAATATATGACTTCTTAGAAGAAGAAAAAGATGTATTTGCTTGGACCCATGAAGACATGAAAGGCATCTCTCCAGATGTAATTACTCACAAGTTGAATGTAGATCCACTACATACACCAGTAAAGCAGAAGAGAAGGAAATTTGCACCAGAAAGGAACAAAATCATTAATGAGGAAATCCAGAACCTATTGAAGACTGGAAAAATCAGAGAAGTAAAGTATCCAGAATGGCTTGCTAATGTAGTAGTAGTCAGAAAGAAAAACGGAAAATGGCGCATCTGTATAGACTTCACAGATATCAATAAGGCATGCCCAAAAGACCCGTTCCCTCTACCTCATATCGATGCCATGGTAGACGCTACAGCAGGGCATGAGTTATTGTCCTTCATGGACGCGTACAGTGGATACAACCAGATCCTCATGCACAAGGACGACCAAGAGAAAACCGCTTTCATTACTAGCCAAGGAATATATTGCTATAAAGTAATGCCTTTTGGATTGAAGAATGCAGGAGCAATATATCAAAGGTTGGTGAACAAAATGTTCGAAGAGCAAATAGGAAATACAATAGAGGTCTATATAGATGACATGGTAGTAAAATCCAAAAAGGCGGAAGATCACGTCAGAGACATTAGAGAAGCATTTGCCATCCTGAAGCAGTACGGCATGAAGTTGAATCCCACAAAATGCACATTTGGAGTACAGTTAGGAAAGTTCCTGGGATACATGGTTACCCAAAGAGGAATAGAAGCCATCCCTGACCAAGTCAAATCCATCTTAGACCTAGAGCGACCAAAGTTGAAGAAGGAAGTACAGAGCTTAACAGGGAAAATCGCAGCACTGAATAGATTCATTTCAAAGTCCTCAGACAAGAACAGAGCCTTTTACGAAGAATTGAAGAAGAATATGGAATTCAAATGGGAACTAGAGCACGACGAAGCATTTCAGAAGCTAAAGGAATATTTGGCCAACCCATTGATTCTCTCTAAACCCAAAGAAGGAGAGCCACTCCAGCTATACCTCACAGTGTTTGAAGGGACGATTAGTGCAGTCCTCACAAGAGAAGAAGACAATGACCGATTCCCAATCTACTACGTAAGCAAAACCCTACTCAGTGCGGAAACGAGGTATGCATCATTAAAGAAGAACATTTTAGCCTTAGTTACTGCTTTAGTAAAGCTACGCCCGTACTTTGAAAGCCATTCCATACAAGTACGCACCAACTACCCCATCAAAACTATCATGAGAAAGCTAGAAATGTCAGGAAGGATGGATAAATGGGCCCTACATTTGAGCAGGTACGATATACAGTACGAGCCCAGAACAGCAATCAAATCACAAGCCTTGGCAGCTTCGTAGCAGATTTCAGCCCAACCCTTGAAGAAGAAGCGCAAAAAGAAGTATTGGCACTACAGGAACCAAAAGCTACACAAAGGTGGATACTCCACACAGATGGCGCACCAAACATACGCGGAGTAGGCCTAGGGATAGTACTGACATCACCCCAAGGAGACAAGATAGCACAAGCAATAAGGGGAAACTTCAAAGCCACTAATAATGAAGCTGAGTACGAAGCATTGATCACAGGATTAACCGTTGCAAGGGACATGAAGATACAACACCTAGTGGTAATTTCAGACTTCTTACTCATAGTAAATCAAGTCAACGGAGAATATGCAGCAAAGGATGCCAGGATAGTAGCCTACCTGGAAGTCACAAAGAGGCTCATTAAAGAATTCAAGGAATTCAAGATAGACCAAGTACCCAGAAACTTGAACACTGAAGCAGACGCATTAGCTAACTTGGGATCAAACATCAACCCAAAAGAATTTGGAGTTATCCCTCTAGTGCACGTACTTTCTCCAGCCATAGAGAAAGAATCGACTGTGAGCGTCTACAAAGTTCAAGAAAACCCTGCAGAGAAAGAAAGCAACAGTTGGACAGCACCACTGAAAGAATACCTCTTGGACACGACGAAACCAACAGGGAAAGTAGCAGCTCAAGCACTTGCTCAGAAAGCTTCCAAGTATTGCCTAATCAACAATGTACTCTTCAAGAAATCTGCAGCAGGCCCCTTCTTACGATGCTTAGAAGTAAAGGAAGCACATCAAGTTTTACAGTCTTTACACAGTGGAGAGTGTGGATATCATTCTGGAGGAAGGAATTTAGCCAACAGAGCACTTAGGATGGGATACTACTGGCCCAGCATGAGAAAAGATGCAGCAGAATTTGCCAAGAAGTGCCTAGCAAGCCTGAAGCACGCACCCTTGATGCATAGGCCATCAGAAGAGCTACATCCAACACTGACACCATGGCCATTCATGAAGTGGGGAATGGATTTAGTAAAGCTCCCTCCATCATCAGGACAAAGAGTATACTTCTTAGCAATGACAGACTGTTTTTCAAAGTGGATCGAAGCAGAAGCATACAAGGAAATCAAGGATAAGCACGTCATATCGTTTATAAAAAGAAACATCCTAAGTAGATTCGGGGTACCAACAGAGATCATCACAGACAATGGATCCCAGTTCATCAGCAATAAGACAACAAAGTTCTGTAAGGAATGGAACATCTCCCTCATCACATCCACACCTAGGTATCCACAGGCAAATGGACAGGCAAAATCAAGCAATAAAGTCCTCATAGGTAACATGAAGAAAAGGCTGGAAGGTACAAAAGGGAAATGGGCAAACGAGCTACCCAACATACTATGGGCAGGCAGGACAACCCCAAAAGGCGCTACAGGCCACACCCCATTTTCGTTGGTGTACGGATGTGAAGCAGTGATCCCAACAGAGAAAGAGGTCCCCACAGCAACATATGGGTTAATGAAGGAAGAAAGGAATCAAGCAGAACTAATTCACAACCTAGCCGCAGTGGAAGAACCCAGAGAAGACGCAAGAATGAGAATGGCAGCATACCAGCAAGAAGTAGCAAGATCCTTCAACAAGAATGTCAGAACAAGAGTCTTCAAGTTGGGAGATTGGGTTCTCAGGAAGGTATACAAAAATACCAGAGAAGTGAACGTAGGTAAATTAGCACCCAACTGGGAGGGACCTTACGAGATCATTAAGGTGGTAGGCAATGGAGCCTACAGACTCAGAAATGCAGAAGGAAAAGAGGTACAACGAAGCTGGAATGTAGCACACTTAAAGCTATATCACTTTTGAAGAGCGAAAGTACGTAGTTATCATTTCAAATTTATCTCTTTTTACAAAAAAAAAACAAAAACAAAAAAAAAAAGAAAAAACAGAAAAGCACAAAAAGCTCCAACAGCCAAAATCAGCACGAAAGGTACTCCTCTTTACTCACACTTTGTCAATTCAATCTATGATCATTACGAGTACTGACTTTGGCATCGGAGGGCCGTTGGGAAAACCCACGTCCACCCCTCACATTATTCTGTTTTGCAAGGAACAACACCTACACTGCTAGGCAAGAGTACAACAAGTTAATCACCTTTGCAAGGAAAAAATTAAGTAAGAAGGGCATTGTAAAACTGTCTCCACAGAACAAGCAAACACATGTAAGCAACACTACATCCATATTACAACTGTAATACAACTGTAATACAACTGCAATACAACTGCAATACGACCATAAGACAGCAATGATACAATACGAAACATAAATACAGATCAACATAGCAAAAGAGGCAGAATTACTTAATTGCAAAGCAACAAAACAAACAAATTATCCAGCTACAAAAGTGTAGCACAAAGACAAAATAAAAATTATCCAGCTGCACTAAAGCAGTAAAAACAAACATCCATCAAAGTTAATATTTTTTTAAAGGTGACACAGCACCATTGAAACTAATTCTCATCCATGTTATCAGCAGGGACCACTTCCTCAGCAACATGCTTCGTACTCTCTAGGACATCCCTGACCTCGGCATTGTGAGGAGAATTCACTTCCTCATCAACATAGCTTAGCAACAATGTGCCAGGAGCAGCAGTGCCTGCAGGAAATGCAACCTCAAAAGCAGCCTTGTCAGCATCATAATCCCGGGCCTCATGTTTTCCTTGCTGAAACTCCTCCATCATTTCCAGACGAGCTTTCCCAAAGTAATACGCCGCAGCATCAATAGCCTCGTTTCCAGCCTCCTTCAAGGTCCTCTTCAGCCCATCACGTTCAGCAATGCATTCCCTATGCCTAGCACGTTCAGCCTTCAGAGCCTCAGTAGCAGCCTTGTACTTGTCAGAAAGAGCATCACGTTCCTTCTTCATAGCCTCATACACTTGAGTAAACTCTGACACTTTGCCCAGTACGCCCAAACAAGACTGAAGGCTCTGCAGAACATGGAATCAAATAAGAGATGCGCAGTCCGGTATAACCATGTTTATTAAGTTTTTGTTTTTTTTTCGGAGTATACCATACTTGGAAAGACTGCACAGCAGCCTCTTGAGAAAGGTCAGCGAAAGTCTGCGAGTTTGGCGATCCTTGAAGGATGGAAACAGTAAGGTACCCACATGCGGAGCCAAGGAATCAAAAGAAAAATCAGCAGCATCAACATCAATAGGTACCCCCAACTTCCTCTTAAGGCCAGTACGAGGTGGAGGTGGGGGAGGACCGCTCTTTAGAGCCACCGTGTTGAGAGGAATAGCCTCAGTAGTTTGAGGAGAAGAGCGATGTTTAAGGCGGCCCAGAAGAGAGGACGAGCTAAGAAGGTCATGAGACCTTAGTGACCTCGAAGTATCTACAAAGAACATGACAGAATTCAAAGGGGGATACAACAAGGAACATGACAAACGGACACAACAAGGAACATGACAAATGGACACAACAAGGAACATGACAAACGGACACAACAAGGAACATGACAAATACATAATCACCTCAGAAAGGACAAACAAATTGAGAAC